GGGTGTGGAGGGGGGAGATGGAGGACTGGGCGCCCGGCTGGGCGCTGGGGCTGCATCGGGCCCTGCCCTGCATGCGTGTGGGACAGGGAAGCGCCAGGACTGGGCTCCCCAGGGGGTTGGGGCGAGGAGTGGGGGAGCAGAGCATGGAGGGAGCAGAGGTGTGAGCAGAGGGGAGACAGGCCATGTGGGGAGATGTGGCAGGTCTGTGTCCCCAGGGTGTCTGTGAGAGAGGCTGAGCCGCAAGGGGGATGCTGTGGAGGGGATGGCAAAAGCAGGGCCATCTGGCTCTGCTGTGCGATCCAGGAACCTCTAACACAGGAGCAGAGCAAAGGGTGTCAGATGTAGGAAGTATGGCAGCAGAAAAAGGGGTGAAAGAAGTACAGAGCAAGGGGGAGAAATGTATTTCTTCTCGTCTCTTTGGGGTGCAAGTTAGTTAGAGAACCGAGCAGTCAGAACCTGGTGATTTGACTCGAGCGTGCCAAGGAGGCGGAGGGGATGGTGTCGGGCTATAAAAGGCAGCAGCCGTGCGCAGCGGTGTCCAGGGCTGCCCCGCAGCTGCGAATGTCAGTCTCCGCAGTGGCAGCCTCTGCTGCACGTCTGTTGTGTGCCCGTGTAAGGACCCGTGTTGCTCGCGGCACGTCTGCGGCAGAATGGATGGAGGAAGGATGGGCTCACCAGGAGAAGCCATCTCATTCATGCGGCTCAGTGCCTGCTGCTTCATTCAGCACATGAATTCATTCTTCTGAAATGTTTTTCACGTGGGAGCCTGGAGAGCTCTGGGTATATCAGGGTGAAAAAAGAAATACTTTTATTTATAAGAGCATAATAAAAGGGCATATTTTAATGTTTCTTTGATTACTGACATGTGAGAACCCTTCCTGCTAGAGGCCCTGTCCTACCAGCTGCCGAGGGAGGTATCACGTTGACTAGCACAACTTTGTGGTGAGAGGAAAAAAAAAAAAAAAAAAAGATACTCCCCTTGGTGTTTTGCATGTTATTTCTTGGTGTGAATTTAGATATGCAGCATGCAGGTATGTAAAGCTGCAGCAGAGACCAGCCTCTTGTTTGACACTGCTAAGGAATTGTTGTTGTTTTGATGCAGGGAGAATATATTTTACTATATTGTTTATTTTGTGCTAAGCTAACTTTGTATTTTCTATAGGGGAAGTAATGCATGTTCTGTCCTTAGAGGAATTTATTTAGGTATTTTTCAATAAGAACCTTGTTAAATTGCTAAATTTTTTTTTTCCAGAATAGCAGCAGAATGTTGTACGTAATAGAAACCAAGCTTTTTATTTAGAAGAGCAGGACAGGATAGTCCATGATAGTCTATGTAGAAACCTCTTCCTTCCCAGGGTTAAAACAAAGGGTTATTTTAACTGTCCAGATCACTGGCTTTCCATTTGCTCTGAAGTCTCTGGAGGCTGAGGGCTTGAGCATTTAAGAGAGGGGGTTGGGATCTGGATCCAAGTTATTCCAAGGGGGAATAACCTCTTTTGTGTGTGTTTAACACTTACTGGGCTGAAACGGGGGCTTTTCCCAGTTTCTATCTCATCTCTTCCTGGATCTGTATGTAAATGGTGCAAAATTCAATGTTACAGACACTACTGGTCAGTGAAAAGGCAATAAAAGAAGAGTAGCTTCCATGCATGGCTCTTGAAGGAAGCAAGAAACCAGGCGTAACAGCAAAAACATATATTGTGTTTGTAGGCACGTGGGAGATTTCAAAACTTACTCTTGGCCCAGGCTGGTTCTTATCTCCCACTTGAATGCTGAAACCAAAGCTCTTGTCCTCAGACTTCTGATTTTAGACATGGGGTCATATTAATAGACCTTAAAGCACTTAGTTATGTAAAGCCTAGTCATCTTCTTGATATATGCAATTAAAAAGTACTTACAAGTGGGGAGATCTTCTGAACAGTGTCTGAGGAAGTAGCTTTAAGTCATATGCTTGCAGAGCGCAGCATTTGTGGAAGAGTAGAACCAGGTCTTCTGGTTCTAAGTCTTTAGCCACAAGAATTTCCTTCCACTGGCATTTCTGCAATGTTTGTAAACCCGCAGTAGCTGAACAGCTTTCTCAATTGCATAGGAGTTTTTTTCTGTTAACTCTTTAGGCTCAGGATATCTGTTAGCATTGAAGCTCAATGCTGAAGATGTTCAGTGCATGTGTTTACTAGGACTGTTGTCTTGAGCACTCTAGTGCACTGGAAGTATCATAGTCAAAGTAGTATTGGAAATGGTTTAAGGCGAACAGACTTGGAGGTACAAGAGCAGAAAATTTTGGAGTGATATGTCCCCTGTACGTAAAGATTGAAACTTGACATTTGCTCTGTGCAAAAGTGAATGAAACAAGAAATGTGTTTCAGCTAATAATGGGGAAAATGATCTTTCTTGTTACAGAACATCTGATAGTTTAGCATTTCTCTTATTCATATTATAATCACCCTCGCCTGGGAAGTTGCGGTGATACATCTACTGGCATTTCCATGGCAAATTAAAGAAGGAGTTGTCATGTACTTTGCAAAAGAATGTGGGCAGGCAGTGTATCATTCGCTTCCTTTACATATAAGGTAATCTCTAACTCTCTCAAAGGAAAGTGCTTTAGCACTTGCAATTTTGTCTTAGGTTTGGATAATACTCATTTACCTTTTCCTATCTTTGAGTGGGCAGAATTTCAAAATCTAAATAACAGTCTGAGCAGCAAAAGGACTGATGTTCATTCTATTCATCAATAACTATTTTCACTTGCAACTTTTTTTGTCTCTCAAAATCTAAATAACAGTCTGAGCAGCAGGACTGATGTTCATTCTATTCATTAATAACTGTTTTCACTTGCAAATTTTTTGTCTCTTTTTTTTTGTATGTACAAAGCCATAGTATAAAGCAGTTCTTAATAAGCATTTCAGTTCATAAAATGTACAAGTGTGGAAAAATTTAATAGAAAAACAATGTAAACCACCATGTTATTTAAGATAATTTTTAAGATATGTGCGAGTTGTTGGCCTGATTCCTTAAAGAAAAGGGGCTTATGTAGCTAGTCTGTCTGTCTTCCCACTCCTTTCTCATCAGAAAACTACTGACTGCTTTCAATCAAATTTCAAAGAAAGGAGAAAAGTCTCAAAGATAGTTAAGTTCCTACAAATCTGAAAGCTGGCATTGGGAGGAGGATGCAAATGAAAGGCTCTTTGCACAGATGTGCGTGTTCTTGGCAGCAGCTGGCCAAGCAGAGCACACATGTGAAGTGTCTAGCCAGCTGCCATTTGGCTAGCTCCACATTAGCCACAAAATGTTATATCTGTTATTGGGAGGATGTGTCATAAGACACATGGGGGAAGTTGGGGTTATTGTGGTGGGAATGGGGGACACAGTCCATTCGACTTGGTGGGTTCTGTTGCATTCAGAATGTGCTGGAGTGTAATTTTTTGAAAAATGCAAGAAAGTATCATCTAGAAGGCTGTTCTTTAAGGACTTATATGAAGCGCATTATTCAAAGCCTTACTAGATGCAATTTCAATAAGTTGTTTTCCCTTCTGATGGCCACTTGCTTTACGAATTGCAGGATGTACATGAATATATGCACATTAATGAAGTCGTGACTATACATTTGACATCTGCAGAAAACCTGTGCATTAAAGAACAGAATTGGGTGGAAGAGACATGATTAAAACCTGGATCTTTGGTTTGTTTTATTGATAAGACAATGTCTACCAAAATAGAAAGTATGCTGTAGCATATTTTTTCCACACACAGAAAAATGCTGCTGTTACGTTCAGGGTGACAGGCCGAGTAGAGCAGTCGGTTGGCTGCATCTTATTGCCATGCGGGTACCATTGCCTGTGGATTAGCAAAAGCTGCCTGTGCCTCATGAGGAGGATGGGCAGCTTCTTACAGAGCTGCCGTCATCACCTCCTGCAGCTGTTTGCTTGAAGGGGCATCGTCTGTGCAGAGCTCCAACCTGGCCATGCTCCCCAGGTAATAACAGAGCACTGTTATTATGTGGCACTACATGTCAAGGCCCTTCAAATGTATTTACAATGCATAGGATCTTGGAGCTATTGAGCTCCAAAACCCACCAGTCACTTCAGTGCCAGGGGCACAGACTGAGTGACACAGCCGCTTCTGAGCCGGTAGATGGTGCCAAAGGGATGTTTCATGTGGGCACTGTAAGACCTGTGCTTGTGAAGCTGCAGTTTTGGGTAGCTAAGGCTTGGGAGGTACAGACAGACACAAACAATGTTATTTACGTTCCTGATGTACATTCTGCTCTTCTGTTTCCAAAAGCTGTGTATGAGGCATGAGGGACCGAGTGCAGATTTGATCATCTGGATAATACCTTTGAGTGTGAAATGCACTCCTTTGCAAAGGATTCCTTCAGGCTTTCCATGTTTTTCAGTTCCTTGGGTTTTATAATGGGCAGGCTCTTTTCTGGGTCCCCTCTGCTCAGATGATGACTGTGAATAAAACATCTGTTTTCTAACATTAGTAAATAGAAGCATCTCTTGTGTAGCTTTATCTTCTGTAGTGGTAATGCTGCCCTGAGTTGTTAAGCTATAGTCTTTCCTTATGTTATATTTAATTATAATTCATGTCTAGAAGTGGTTCTGATCTCTGTCTTAACTGGAACATGAAATCCTGCTTTTTGGTTTTTCTTCTAGATGGAAGTATGAAGCTTGGATCATTCCTTTACTTTAGAACTTGTGATTGGCCAAATCATCAAAACTATCTAGTAGTGGTGTCTAATGCAAATACATTTCTAATATAAAACCCCAAAATATTTAAGTTAGTAAGAAATCAGTAATATGAAGATAACTGCCTCTCAAATGAATACAAAATACTTCTAAGGGTGTGTAGAGAGCATGACAAAAAAGGGGATAGACGACTTAATAAATTTTGTTGTCGGTTTATTTTCCTAGGTACCTTGCTCATTCTCTCTCCTCAACTTAGTTGATCCTGATCAACAGTCTTAATGTGAGAAAAACTGCAGATAACTTCAGTGTATTTGTCCATCCAAGAACTACAGGATCCAAACTAAAATTGCGGTTCCTGAAGTTGCTTCTTTTGTATTTCAGTACTCTTGGAATAAAACTGTTCACTTAAATATGCAGAGTATAGGCAAGAAGGACACGTGTATGAGCAGATGTTTGCACCACTTTTCTGTGATTCAAAACTCAGCAGAAAAGGAGAAAGAAAAGTAATTGCCTGTGCTCTGAATTGCTGTTGAACAATCTGTTGCACCGGGAGTGAGAGAAACCTGGTTGTGTCTGACAGGAGCAGTGTCTAGCCCGCTGGCTGGCAGTGATTTAACCTGACTCCTGTGTGCTGTGAGCCCTAGTGCTCACAGTATCTCAGGTCTTTGCATTGCTTGTGTTTGACGGTGCAGATGGGACATCACAAGAGTGTTTGAAAGCTTTTTACCTTAACATGCGGTGCCATGTTCAGTTTGGTATCAAAGGACATTTCGAAGTTACAGATATACTCTAAATGCAGCAATTTTTAGCTATTTTGATTGGTGATACCTGCAGCTATTAAGCTGGTATAGCCCTGGTGTGGATAGCTATACATTTATGTCCTTATTTATGCAACAGTATAGTTTACTCCCAGAAGTAGCTTTATGCTAATATAATTGCATTGACAGTAAAAAATGTTCAGTCTTAGGAACTCCCATTTCAAACTAGGGAAGGTAGCATAAGAAATCAGCATGTTCCCAGACATGTTGCAGATAGGGAATGTATTGGAGAATAGCCTCTTAAAGAGTTTAAGACAAATTACTGAATAGCACGAGAAATCCTAATCACTTTAGTGGTTACGCTAACAGTTGAATTATTTTCAGGAAATATTGGTCTCTCAATCAGATTAGAGGTGACTCTTTATAAGAAATTATCTTTCTGGCTATCATTGTGGGATATTTCCCAAAGGAATGGGGAACAGGAGAGAAAATGGCCTAACTTGCAGGGAACCTGGAAGACAGCGCTTGTATCTGATGCGGGCAAGGAAACTGAGCTCCTAGAGTGCCTCAAAATAACATAGTGAGAAGAAGAGCGTACCTAAACTTTCTGAGCAGCCTTTCAGAGACTTGCAGGAACGAGAATGTGTTAGTCATGATGCAGTTCAGGAGTAACTGATACGGCAGAATAATCTGAAAAAACTTTTCTGTTATCAGATCAGTGATTTGCTGCAATTACAATTTAAAAAAACCCAAAAACCAAAAATCAAAGCCTTTCTTCTTTGGAGAAAAGTTAGTTATTTGTCTCCCTTATAAAAGTACTCTATGGAAAGTCAGAAACATAGGCAAAACTGGTATCCTTTTTAATAGAATGGCTTTTCAGAATGGCCAGTGACAGTTTGAAAATGGTATTTAGTAGTGCTTCACAGCTGTCCTTTGTCTTTTGTGATGCTTTCTCTTTCTACTAAATATTTTCTTTGAAGTTTAAAAAAGAAGGGTGGGGGGAGGGAAAAAAGGCAGTTTTCACATGGTAGTGTAGGATAGTATGCCATCTATGCATTTTTATAAATTCTGGACCAAAAGGTAAAAATTGCGTATAAAACCACAACATTTGTTTTTCAGGGTTTTTTGTCTAGAAACATGAGTTTTGTTTTGTATTAGCATTGTAACACATCTTTTTCCACCTCCTGTTTATGCTCACATAAACACAAATAAAACATGCCATTTCATTTACAAATCAACAATTATGTTTTTAAAATAAATCAGTTAATATTTATTACATATAAGATTATTAGATGTAAGAAGAAATACAGTTAAGTTGTACAGATAGATTACAGATAGATTTCACAAATAGCAAGTGTATTTACCATTATTCAAAAGTAAATTTTTTACACTTGTGTTCTTTTTCTACCTATTAATCAAATTGTTCATATTTTGCCTATTCTTAAAGGGGCAAAGAATATTAAGTTGCAGTAGAGAAGCTGTGTTAGTTTTCCTGCAAAATCCCAACTGAGTTAAGGAAGGGAAAATGTTTTTATGGAGCTTCTGAATTTCCAAAACTAGTCTCTTAATTAAGAGTATATTCCTTAAATGTATGATAATGATATCAGTACTACAGAAGAATATCCTTTCAAATCCTGTAGCTGATGAAGGGTGAAATCAGATATTTTACTGTGTGTGATTATATGATTATACTATGTATCTTCTTGTGTTATTTTATTCAGTTTTGGATCTCAATGATCCCTTCAGTACTGAAGTTAAGCCAAGAATCCTGCTCATGGGATTGAGAAGAAGTGGGAAGTCTTCCATTCAGAAAGTTGTCTTTCACAAAATGTCACCAAATGAGACCCTCTTCTTGGAGAGCACCAACAAGATCTGCAGAGAGGATGTTTCCAACAGCTCCTTCGTCAACTTTCAGATATGGGATTTCCCTGGGCAAATTGACTTCTTTGATCCTACATTTGATTATGAGATGATTTTCAGAGGCACTGGAGCACTTATATTTGTTATTGATTCTCAGGTAATTAAAAAAAAAAAAAAGGCCAGGGAGCTTTTAAGCTACTTTTTTTTTTCTTCCTTCAGCAATAGGGAAATGGATTGGAAAGCCTAAAGAGATCTTTCTAAAGCAAATAAATGACTTATGGTTACCAACATACATTTAAAGAAAGTCATTAAACTGGAAGAGTTGTGTGACTGTTTTTAATGTCTGTCTTCAGGGTGTTCAAAAACAGTTCACTAGTTTGCTTTAACACGTCAAGCTTCTTGCTTGGAGTCCCAAGAGTTGACAGTGCGAGATCAGTGCATGTGTTGGATGTAGGCTCAGGCTTCTGCTTGCAGTATCAGAAAAAAAAATAGCTGTTGTTGAACAGTAGCATTATCTAAAAGTAAGTATGATATTAAATAAATAAATCCCACAGTTGTTGCTTTTATTTTTCTTCATTAGGATGATTATATGGAAGCATTAGCTCGGCTGCATCTTACTGTGACCAGAGCCTATAAAGTGAATCCAGATATCAACTTTGAAATCTTTATTCATAAAGTGGATGGCTTATCTGATGACCACAAGATTGAAACACAAAGAGATATTCACCAGAGAGCAAATGATGACCTTGCAGATGCTGGATTGGAGAAAATTCACCTCAGGTGAGAGAAGTTGCTGGGCAAAGAAATTTAAGTCAAGGAAGAGAGCAGCTTATCTGACAAGTTACAGTTTTCTGTTCTGTTGAAGTGACAGGCAGCAGGCACTTGGTGTATCAAGGAAAGGGTTAGTCACGGGCACTGCTTTGGCCCTGAGCCCAACAAAGGATTGTTTTTCTGGGTGCTCTCTTGGAGGCATAGATGGGGAAGGGAAGTGCTTATAAGCAGATGATGAATAAACTTTAGTCTTACTAGTTTTTGCTGCATTTGCTATCTTGAAGTAAAATAGTTCGGAAAAGGTCAGCCCCCGGTAGAGTCTGTTTGCCAATCATCTCTTTTTAGCCTCCTTTGAAAGACGTCCTCAGTCTCGTAATCCTCTCCCAACCACTAGTCCTTGCTGCTGCTTGGGGAGACAGATGGTTGTGTCTCTGCAGTGTATCTGTGGATGAAGCAGATTATTATAGCAAATAATTTTAAAAAGGGGCTTCTTTGCAGACTAGGAACTAGGATACATCAAGTTTTCATCTCAATCTTAGGATTTAAAGCTAAGTACAAATATATTAATAAAAAGAGATCCATTTCATCAACATGCCAACTCCTAGAGTTTTTAACAACTTGAATGTATCATTTTGTTGTTAAATGAGCCTACAGCTTCCAAAATGTAAATCACAACATGTAGAGTCAGTAATATTGCCCTCTTTCCATATATAAAATACTTCCCTGAGAATACCAAGATGAGAACTAAATCACAGCATTCTACATCAAGCACTAGTTTACAATGGAGTTTTGCGTATAGATATATGTGCTATCATGCCAAATATAATCATCAGAGTATGTACTTTCCAGTATGAAATCCTGTGTTTCAATTATAACATGTAACTTTTGATCACAAGGGGTAATTGCATAATTTTAGGCACTTGGTGTTTTGACAATATTTCATTTCACTCATATACAAGGTACATGATGTTCACAATATGTGGCTAAAAAGAAAATATGGTGACATTTTCTTCCAGCTTTTATCTGACAAGCATATATGATCATTCTATATTTGAAGCCTTTAGCAAAGTGGTACAGAAACTGATTCCACAGCTCCCAACACTGGAAAACCTACTTAACATCTTTATTTCAGTAAGTACTTGTTACGTACTTTGTGTTTAGAGCCAGCAATGTACAACACGCATGTTCAGCTATCTGTTGAGAACCTTCTGAGAGACTGAGAGCATTGTGAGCTTCCAGAGAAGTTGGCAGAAGTCCAGAGACTTCTGGACTTCCAGAGAGTCCAGAAATTCGTTGAAATGTAGTGACACAAAGCTTGGCCCCACCCTCTTGTCTCTTAGAGAGTTGCAATATGCTGCTGACGTATTCAGAGTAACCTGCTAAATGAAAACAACACATAAAGTGCTTTCGCAGTTATTAATTTTCTACTCGTACATTAACTTGAATGTTGCGAAGCTGTGTTTTTGTTTGCTTGTTTGTTTTTAAATAGTACTTAAAATCTGCATAAATAAATTATTAAAGGAACATTCCCTTGTCTGACTTCCTATGTAGAACAGTCTATACTACTTTCTAGAATTATTTCTTCTGTTTATTGAAGCTTAGTTCACCTAAGAAAATCTTCACTTGTATTAAGAATTCCAGAGATAAGAATCCATTCCAAGTATCATAGTTATGCTCAAGGCCAATTGGGAAGCTTTGCTTATGTATTTACTTGTTACCACTGAAGGTGATTTGTGATCTTGATGTAATGGGATTATTTAATATTGTTCAATAGCCTGCTAAGATCAAATTAGACTTCATAGTCTTTCAATACAGGGTGTGAAATTAGAAGAGAGAAATAGGTTGGATGCATTGCTGAAAGGGAGGGCCAGGGTTCCTTGAAGGGTTTCCTTCAAAAGCCTGTTCTCTTAATAGCGAGCAATGCATGATGCTGCTTCATAATAAACAGCTTGTTGTAGTAGACTGTTTCTACTAAAGTTGCTGGACTACCTGCCAGTCATCATCCAGTCTTGAGCTCCACGTATGGTAGAAAACTAATGAAAAGGTGGTGGATATCCAGGTTTGGAGCAACTAGATATTAAGCTGTTTATGCTACACCATCTTAGAACAGAAAAGTGTTGCTGAGACGTGTTCCTCAGAAGAGGAAAGAGTATTAAACTTTTTTTTTTTTTTTGAAGTCCAAATAGAGTATAATCTGGCTTGTTGATGATAAGCAGCTATGTTTTGCTCTTGAGTTCTCAGTTTGTCTTCTGCAGTGGAAGAGCACTGTAGGTAGAAGACTTGGAAGGAATTTGGTGGAATCCTCAGAAAACATTTTTTCTATGGGGTAGAATTAAGTAGTAGGTGCCTCTTTGCTTTAACAACTCAGAACAAATCTGGTTAGGAATCCTGATGTGGAGTTTGGTCATGCCTTAGGATGTGTGTTGGATATCAAGTGTGGGTTTGGTTTCTGGTTTAGTTTTTGCAACTGAGCAATATTCATGAGGATATGTTGTAATTTACGCCATGAAAGCTTTCCAACACAAATAGCTGATAATTATGAAAATAGATCTGTGGTCATTTAAAGTTCCTGGTAGGTTTTTGCATAACTTCTTGTAGTGCCACAGTGTGTGAGCTCCTACATTCTTTACTCCAGCTGCCTGCAAAATATAAAGTATCACTGTTAGTTTAGCATTCAAAAACCATGTAAATCTTTGTTAACATTGCGTGAGCTTCATGTAAAAGGTTATCTGCTTTTTAACTACTGTGGCCATACAGAGAAATTATGTGGCATGAGAATGGGTATTCCTCTTTCCTTTAAGATGTTTTTGTTGTTTTTGTTTAGAAAAATGTTCATTAAAAACAATCAATGGGTTATAGTGGAGAAAAATAGATATTTTTGCTTAATTTTATTATTTAAACTTCACAATCTATAAATCAAAATGTAGTATTTAATATTTACTAAATTCTCTGTTTGCCACAAGGCCTATTTAAATACCTTCCCAAAACGCATATCTAGCTGTAAATGACTGCTGATACCCTGCATTTTCTCACAGTCTGTCAGGGTTATGTCCTAGTTGGCTAATACTTACTCTGATCCTGCTCCCACTGACCTCAGTGGCAGAATTTTGTCCAGCTGAAAAAGGCAGTGGTTGATTTTTGTTCTCTTAATAAGATGCCTTGTGCTCTAGTAAGAAAAACAGTTGATTTCTTACCATCATCTCCGTCACTGAACATCAGTTATATAATCTCTTTGACTAGTGTGTGGGTTTTTTTTTTTTTTTTGTATCAGTGTTTAAACCCAGTGTTTCCTAACTTCTTATGACCTTGTAAACCTCCTTTTTTTTTTTTCCTGAGCTGCTTTCTTACAAGCACTGTGCTAAGTCCTTTCTCCTGCCAGTGAAAGGCACAGATGAAATCTGTCAAGTCACGCTTATACGATTTAAGTGGTTATTACTCCTACTGCTTTGCAGCAGTGTCTGTTACCACAGAAAGGTCAGCAGTCTGTTTCTCAGCAGGTCAGTGCATGACCTGTTAGTTTAAACTGAAAATTACGCTGGTTTCAGTGAAGATACCAAGCTCCAGCCTGCGATAATAGAGTTGCCACAAAGCAGATTTTCTGCTGCCCCTGCCACCCAGAATGGCAGACATCTCGTGTTGAAAAGCTTTTAATCTGTCACTGCAAGAATAGACAGAGGGCAACTGCTAGAGTTCTGAGATGGAAAAAACACTTTGTATGGTTAAAGGTTATTATATTTGCTACAGAAATCTTAATATTTTAAAGAACATTTTACCTGAACAGCTGAGTTTATAGTTGCATGTCTTTTCTTTTTATAATAGAAAATTGTCTAATCAGTTCCTCATGAATGATGCTACAGAGTTTCTTCTCCAGACTCTTTTGCCTGAAGTTTCTTCTCATTTTAAACAAGTCTTTTGGAAATATATTGCAGATAACTATTTATATGGTATCTACAGCTGTTATTATACATCGTGAATCCCATATACACTGTGAATCCCAATAATCCCATTTGACAGTATCTTTTGAAGTCTGAGGTTCTGTGAGCACTAATGTGTTATCTGGAAAATCAGAAAGTTGCCCAGCTCTCACGTGACCAGAATAAGAAATATACATTTTATATATATATATATATGCATTATATATATATGCACTTTTGTTACTAGTGCTCAGAGAAGAGACTCCTAGAGCCATGCAGGCTGGCAGGGCCCTCTTGAACAGCTGGAAGCTGTGGCTCAGAGCGGGGCTGCACAGGCCTGTGTCGAGCTGAGCTTTGAGCAGCTCCAAAGATGGGGACTCTGCAGCCTCTCTGCTCAGCCTGCCCCCAGTGCTTTTGGTTTAAAAAGGAAAAAAGAGTTTTTTTGCTCTCTTTTTATCAAATCTTCCAGCTTCTCTGCTGCTGCTTGTCCTTTCACTCTGCTGCTCCAAGAAGAGTTTTGCTTTGTCGTCCCTGCGCACTAGTATTAGGTGGTTGTAAATGGCAGTGGCATCTCCCTTGAGCCCATGTGTATCATGTGCTTCAGCCCATGTGTCCATGTACATAAGGTATCCAGAGTATATATTTTGGTTTGAATAATGATTTTATTAATGAATTATTGAAATGTGCCATTCAGGGAGTGTTTTCCATAATGAAATACAAGAAATTTACTTTTTTCTATGTTGTAGTGGATGAATATTTCCAGTCTTAGTTCCTTATGTATTGGTGGCAGATTTAAACCTCTTTAAAATGAAACTGTCCAAAATATTCTTGGCTATTGCACTATAGTATACCCCAGTTGAAATCTTTGCATTTATTTCAGAGAATTTGAGAAATGTGAGGAAGTGTGAAGGTCATCTTAGTCTCTTGTTTGTTAAATGGTTCACTTAAGAAGGGAGAAGGCGACAAAAAAGAAGAAATGTAAATGTAAACCAAGCTAAAAAATGTTAAAATGTTGGAGATTTTCAGAGCAGTTTTATTAATTACTGAACAGTTACGGCAACAGTCCCCAGCTATTAATAGGGAAGCCTATATGGGGGGCAGGGCGGGAAAGGTTTGATAGAAAAAGGTTTCCTCTCTTCCTGTGTGTTTGGTTTCTAAAGCATATTTGATAATTGAGATTTAGCAGTCCTGGGAAGTTGCCCTTTGTGTTTGTGCTGGGACAACTGCCCAGGTGGGATCCCTTGGTACCAAGAAGCAAAACTAGTGTTTTCAGTGTTTCCGTGTTTTTTTTCCTCTTTTTTTTTTTCCTTCTGGAAAGAGAGGCCTATTGCAGTTTACCTTATCTACCAAAGAGTTTGAGCTGAGGCTGAGCTGGCTTCCCTGGCTAGCCTCTTAGAGCAGCAGATTTGATATATCTGCAGAACAGAGAGTGTCTGAATCAGCTCGGCGGGATGGAAGGGACGTAGCTGTCCCCACAGCAGCCGCCTTTGCTGTAGCAGCAGGGCTGTGACCAACAGTGCCACCTCAGTGCTCAGTCATCACCAAAATACCAACATGAATCATCACCAAAGTGCTGCTGCTTGTCCTTTGAGCCTCAAAGACCTTCTGAGGAGCCACGTGGTACCCAGTTACAGACCCTGCTGAGACAATTTCCCAGTTTCCTTGAGATACTAATTCTAATCCCTGCTGCTCAGAATTTCAGTTCCTCATTGTGCCCTATTTCTTTTTCTTTTCTTGTTTCCACCTTTGTATGTGTCCAGCTAGAATAAGTGCAAGTTACAGCCCTCTTCTTTTGTCCACTGTCAGAGTCAGGAGCAAGACTGCAAAAGCCTGACCTCAAAAGATATTTTTGGAACTTTTTCAACAGAAAATAAATGTAACATCTCCAGATGTTTTCCAGAGAAGGGATGTTCAGGAATCTGACTTGGCAGAAGTCCAGATCCAGAAAGTGCTTTTTTTTTTTTTTTTTTTCCCATCTTTCTTTGTTTCCTCTCTCTCTATTGCTTGCTCTTTTCTACTATGTGACTGTTAATATGACTGTATGACTTTTTGACCAGCGGTGTATGGGTGAGTGCAGTGGTCCTTACCTGGGTTAGGAAGTCTGTGAACATCATTGTTTACTACAAAAATATAAGTGCTTTTTCTTCCAAAATCAGCATGATTGCAAGATAACTTTCACTTACTCAGCCTAACTTTTTATATATTAGGCAAATAGAGGAACAAAGATTGGTGTTAAAATTGAAGTCATGTCTTCAATTTATTTTTCTTTCCTTTTTTAATAGAATTCTGGGATTGAAAAAGCATTTTTATTTGATGTAGTCAGTAAAATCTATATTGCAACGGATAGTACTCCAGTGGATATGCAGACTTACGAGCTTTGCTGTGATATGATAGATGTTGTGATTGACATTTCTTGTATATATGGGTAAGTACCTTGTTAGATCTGTGTACCTACATTCTGAATTACCTCAATTCCAAAATTAGAATGATGTCAGTATAAGCAATAGCAGCAATGTGAGTAATTTGCCGCATTCTGAGATACAGATTTCCCTGCCAGCATGAAGCAGTGTTCCCTGCCACAGCCTTCGTGAACACCGTCCTTTTTATATGCTAATAACTTTATTTGCAGGAAGGACTGGGAAGTACCCATCCTTATATAAAAGGAAATATTAGCATTATCTTTTGTTTCCCATAGCCAAATTAAACAAAAGGATGCTTGCCATTTTAATTAAAAGCCATATTTACTCCTTTTGTTTACCTTAATAGCTAGTGGCCTCTAGTGGCCTCAGATTGCTTCTTCACTCTTGCTTCAGTCATCTGTTCCTTCTCTTCCCACCCTGCCCTTATTTTTTTCACTTCCTATCCCTTTCCTTTAGCAACTGTAAAACTTCTGCAGTTGCATGTACATCTCCTTGCAAGTTACGTTATGGTTTTACATAGCTTGGCCCTTGCCCAAGTGGAATGCCAGCTATTCCTGGAAGCTGCAGGAGCACATAAAGGTAGAACTAGCACATTAAGATGTTTATACTTCTAAGTTATACCATAGTATACTTGCTAGAGACTGTAGCCTAAAATTCTTACTATTGACTTAATCTTTGTGTTCCTTACTTTACACTGTCTGGTTTAAAGAAAAGTCTTCCTGAAGGGTAATGAAATTAAAATTTCTTACTTTGAGATTATTTGATGAAAGAACCAGAGTAGGATGCTTTTGTTAGCACATATGGTGGCTTATCTTGTTTGTGCGTATATGTGTATTTTAATTATAATTTTTTTTTAATATTGCCTTTAGGCTCAAAGATGATGGCACTGGGACTCCTTATGACAAAGAATCAATGGCAATCATAAAACTGAACAATACAACTGTCCTATATTTGAAAGAAGTGACAAAATTCCTTGCTCTTGTTTGCTTTGTAAGAGAAGAAAGCTTTGAGAGAAAAGGTATTTTCCCTTGTCTAATATTGCCTTACTTTTGCTTTACATCTGCAAGTTAATGAATAACTTTGTGGTTGTCATTTGCTGATACAGTTTCTAGCTGTATCACAAATAGAAAGGGTAAATATGCCCTGGTAGAGGTTACAGAACACTCTCTTTATAAAGGAATGGGGTATTTGTGCTGGCATTAAGATAAGATGCAATCATAAATACCTTGGACTGATTTCTGGTATCAGAGCATATAGTTTATGTCCACTGAAATAGCCTTCCATCTGCAATAGCAGAAAGTGTCATTTTATCTTAGCTAGCAGTGCTTTGTACTTAGTGGCACTATCATATGCATTTGCAACAAAGGGAAAATTCTTGAAGCTGGCAGATAGAAAGAAATACGTTGCTGCTTTTCTTGCCTCTGAAAGGGGACTTTGGGAAGCAGCATCTTTATGAACTGAGCGACTTTCATTTTTGAAGATAAAGTTTAGCATAAAAGGTCATGGCAGTCCCCCTGCCCTTGCTCAAAGTCAGTGCTAAAGGCTTAGGCCGTGGTCACTGTGCATGGCCACGTTGCCCTTGCCCTTGATGAACATCAAGGGCTGATCCACGAGGCAGCCTTGCTGTGTGTGCGTGTGCTCTGTGGCTGCGTGTGCTTGACACTCATACTGTGCCTGCTCGTGATGCACACAGCATTTAGCTTTCATTTTATAGACCTCCTGTTGCTCACATTGCCCTTTGATAGCTCTGCCAGCATTATTATTTATGTTACATGCTGTCATTCTCCTTTTTTTACTGCCTTACATTGACATACCTGCTAACAAGATTGTGTCAGAAAATGCACCATTTTGGATAAACACTTGCTACGCTTTGTCTGTGACTGTCAGGTTTTTGTGTCTACGTAGTTTGGGACACGTGGTAATTAATACATTTTAAATACACAGCTCTGATATTATGGTGCACTTTTTTTTTTTTTGGTGATTTCCAAATTATATCTGGCTGAACTTCAGCGAGAGAGAAAACAATTCCTGCAGAAAAAAATAATAATGTGGTAGATATAAACCACTTAAAATATGTATCATTTCCTGTTAGGGAAATTAAAGTGAAAAACTCAGCAGTATTTGAGTTGAGAGAGCTTATGGCATTAACCTTGAATGGGGTCATAAGTTCAGTATTAAAATCCTAAAATTTTATTGCAATATTACACAATTTATCACACAGTAAGTCTTCAGATTGAACACCGATCTGGCTTTACAGCTTTTCTGTGGGATCACATTCAGCCCCCTCATGTGGTAATTATGCATATATGTAACTTCACAACATGTCTAAGGTATCATGTTTTAAATTACAATATAGGATGCAGTATAACTGGCTGTTATGAAAACCTGTTACTTGATAATGTTTCTACTGAGTATCAATCTCAAAGATTGCATATAAAAATTACAATGTCCTACTCATTTCTATTACAGTTATAAAATGACACAGTTTATGAAAGAGTTTAATTTTTACCTTAGTATACAGAGTAATTCTCTAAAGTTGTTAAATTAAACCTTTATCTGCAAATGTACTTTATCTGTCCATTTTCTGTACAACTAGTACATATATTTAATATAGCACATAGTATGATGCTATAAAGCTTACTGAATTATTTGTGTTTATCAAGTGTAATTCTCTCTGCATTATGAAAAACTGCCTAGAAGATTCGCTGATGGTGATCCCTAGAGAGCGAGCTATTTCAGTAAATATAAGCTTTTTTTTTTTTCATTAGCTTAATTTTTGTAAAGCTTTATTAATATGAAATATACTTCTGTCTCTACAGGATTAATAGACTACAATTTCCATTGCTTTCGAAAAGCCATACAAGAAGTATTTGAAGTACGAATGAAAGTAGTGAGATCTCGAAAACATCAAAGCCACATGCGAAAAAATAAGAGGGCCACCCCCAACGGGACACCCAGACTGCCGCTGTGATGGGGGCTCAGCTGGCTCTGAAGAGCACGGCTTTTCTTTGCATTGATGTGACTTCTGCATCTCATTGCACTGAGTGAAGAGGAAAACAAACAGGACTGATGTATTAGATGAATTTTCTCCGACCCTTCAGAAAGCACTGTTTAAATATTTTTATCCAATCAGTTTTTTTCATATAGTGAGCACTTTGAGCAAAATGTTGTATATATAAGCATTGAGGTGAACACTTGTAAGAATTTTCTTAATATATGCTGTAAACCTTTTTCATGCCATATTAAGAAAAATCAGCTGTGACAGAAATACTGGGTACATAATTTGCACTTTTTCATGTTTTCCTTGTGGAGTTGGACTTTGATAAACTTAGTTTTTATGGTGATTTTGATGCATGGTGTCAGGTAAAATGTATGCTGTAGTTTATTTACCTGCTAAGATCAAATTGGTTAGTAAACAATCAAGAAAACTCGGTATAATGCCTTTTAAAATTTGTGACAGCTAATATCGAACATTCATACAGATCTAATTTCATATATTTTTCAATTTGTAAACTGAAGAATTATTTTGAAAGTATGATAGCAATAAGCACCTTGCCAGGGATCATAACTGGTAGGTAAATATTAGCTTTTATAAAACAGGCTTTTGGCCAAATTTTACCCGGAGTTCTCCATAACACTGGTAATACCCTCTGTTGGGTCTATTTTTATTCTTTACCTCAACATATACCACTAAAATACCTTTCTATAAAGATAATTGTTTTGTAAAATGGCTCTATGTTGCATTGGTGTTTTCTAAGGCTCTGGAGGAGGGTGGTGCATGTGCAAGGTTGAATTTACATTCAAGCTGTAAGCCTGGCAAGCTTGTTTTGAGAGTCTCTGCATCTGCAGTTGGTGCAGGGAAGAATCTATATGTATTTTCATCCTGCCAGTACAAAAACTTAAAATGAACTTGTAGGAGATGTTAGAGATGTTTGCACTGGGTTTTGATTCCGCCTATTTAGGGATACACCTGTTATAGAAATCAAAAGAAATCTTTCAGATGAGCTCTGGGGAATCTACCTGCTGTGGTAAGCGGCACACATAACTGCTTTTTATTTTGACTTTGCTTGCGGATGGATTTGCCACAGGATAAGCCAGGATACCAGAGCACTTTCAAATTTGAGAAGAAGTAAAACTCACCTTCTGAAATCTGTACTGATGGTTTTGTATAGTTAATGATGTAAAATTCTAGTTGCTAGTGGGAAGAAGAGCCGTGGTGAGGAAAACTATTCTCTGCCCACTCATCAACTCCTCTGCCTCGAGCTGGCACAGCTGTGGAGGCAGAAGTGAGGATTGAATTTGAAAGCTTTTCTTTAGCTGAAGCAAAGTATACTATGATTCAAGAGTCCAAGGTGTTTGCTGGCTTTTCTGGAAAATTAAAGAGTTTTAGCCCATGATAAACTAGCCTAAATTCTGTGGTGGTTTGAATACAAATGCAAAATTCCTGTATGCTACATATGGCATGCTGACAGGCCACAGCTCTGGTGCTGCACTGAATACATGAACTGGAGGATCCAGCTGGCACTGAATGCAAAGGTTCTCTCTACCCAAACATCAGCCTGAAGAGGGATCATGGTTTCCAGTCCTTTACTGTTGCCTCATGCACATGGCTTTGCTGCCTTATCTTTCTGGAACATGACTCTACTGAATGTATGTGGAGCTCTTAGAAAAGGGTGTTAGTAAACAGACAGAGCCAGGCTACTGTTCCCGCCTGGAGGTGGAAAGCAGCAGAAATATCCTGAAATGTTGGTTCTGGTGCCACCATGAAGGATAATAACAGTAGCTGTAACAAAAGCAGAATGCTGCAAAACTACAGAGTTCAAATTCTTGTTGGTGCTGTTGCCAACCCATCATCTTGGGAAAGGGCGGTTGTCCTGACCATCCATTCAAGTAGAGCTGTCTTCAGAGTTTACCACGCTGATGATGGAGAGTATCTGACTTTTGGCAACTCTCTGTTCAGCAGTCCTTTCACTGAAGAGCAGTCAAAACTTTTTATTTTACCCACCGTGATTTTTCTCCCTTGCCTCCTTTCAGATACGTGTGAGGATGAGCGGAGCACCCACCAAGCTGCCTCATTTCTTGGACCAGACATTTAGAGTAGCAGCACCTTTTCATACTGACTATGGTATGAGTCATGACTAAAGAAAGTCGTTTCTGTGTGTTTGGCTGGATGTGTCAGCATTCGTATTTTACATCTATATCACCATGTGTATCCTTGTATTTAGAGAGACTTTCACCTTACTTAAACACTTCATTTGCCATTAGGTTATCTCTAGTAATTCCCTCCAGCATTTGACATACACTATGCTGTGTAACTTAGTGGGACCAGATGACTTCTGCTAACAAAAAATTTCACAGCATTTGACATACACTATGCTGTGTAGCTTAGTGGGACCAGATGACTTTTGTTTCAAAAAAATTCTATTTGGATTTTATTAGGATAAATAGTTTCATAAAATCTCTCATGTTTCAAACACATTTGATTACAAAACTTGCTATTCCCTTTATTTCTACAGCTTCATTTTGATATTTCCCAGTTTAGGCAATGACTTGTGTGTTTCACTTCTAGTCATTTTCTAATCAGTACTTCAGATTTTAATGTACAAGCTGATGCGATTGAGCCAGTGAGGCATGCCAGGGATATTTTTTTTTCTTAACGTCTTATTTTTCAGTCTCTTGTTCATTCTTTTAAGTTTTATTGAGGCTACAGTTTTTATTTTCAAGGGAGGAAGCATCCCTTATGCTGCAGGACAGTACTGACAAAGCGATCTAGAGATACATCTTTTTAATTGGAATCATGCAAGAAGTAAACAGTTTCTGAACCATGTAATATTCCCTAAATGACTGATTTGCAAGTTTCCCTTTTGCTTTATCATCAGGTTTGCCTAAACATGGAATGAACTGTTTTTGAAGCAGCCATGTCTCTAAAATACTCTCTTTTGAACCAATAAACGCATACTGGCTTAGCGTCCTGTTTAAAGTCCTCATCTCAGAAGCCAAATAGCTGTGAACAACTGCTTGTAGCAACTTGCTGCAGTGGTAGAAGTCCTTGTAAGTAATTCGGTAGGCAGTGCCCAGAGTACTTGGTGACGTGGATTCCCTGAGGCACCAGAGTGCGCAAACATGCACTGGGCCACTGAAACCACTACAGCGCTGGGATGTCCTCCTGAATTCCCGTGAGCTCCCTGGTTCTGTGCGCCAGCACGGACACTGTGAGGAGGCAGCAGCAGGAGCAAACGCCTCTGGTGAAGCATCATTCAAATACAGCATCTGAGAGCTCATACTCTGTGATGGAGCAATATTTTTTCTTGTTAAAGCATAAAAATTTGGGGCATTTCTTTTCATGCAAGTGAAACTACTACAGTGACAAACACTCATGCTAAGGAATCTGATTCTGCCAAAGGGTTAGAGAGGCTTTTGTTTGTTTGTTTTTAATTATGCAGCACTAACATTTTCTGAATAGGCTAGTACTTCCAATATTACTGACTTATAAACCTGCTCCATTTTTATACATCATCAGATTAAGTTGAAGAGTTAAAGCAAATAGCCAAGAACAAGACACCATGTTGTAGAAACTCTGTTTTAATTATACATTTCTAGTCCCTTTCATTTGCAATAGTTCTTGCAAAATATTTTTGTCTTAAATTGCCTGTTGGGGGAATTTCTATTTCTCTACTGAATGATATTCCTGGCATTGTTGTATATTCATTTTTGCTACTTATTCTTCCTCTCTGTTCAGTTCAATACAGAAATTAGTTGACACGAGAATTTCTTATGCAAATTCTAAATATTTATTGATAGCAGCACGTCACCTTTCTTAGTTACAGACAGTCAAATCAACTTTGCCTACTTCAGCTCTGTGGGAAATTAGAAATAACTGAACTTTGGTTGGGGAATTCTTTCAGATTCCTCTGTTTCTTTATAGGAGCATCTTACTGAGGTCCTACTTTTTGCCCACTTAATTATACACTAGGTCATGTATGTACTTTCAAATGTCTGCATTTAAATTCTTTTGTTTCTGTTTTTTTTTTTTTTGAAAATGGTAGCTTAAAAAAAGACTTGAACAGACTACTGCTGTTTGTTTGCTTTCTTACTGATGTTTTCTGCCTTTTTTTTCCCTCATTTTCCTTTCTCTGATGTGGATGTTTCAGTGTAGGAAGGTCAGATACCCACTCTGCTTGGAGCCTGCCAACCTATTCTCACTGGCATTATGAGCTACAGGCTACATCTTGAGCAAAAAAAAAAAAATACTGTTAAGTACAAAAGTATCTAAGTTATATTCTAGTGTAAACTAGTACATTAATCGCTACTAATGTTTAAAATTTCAACATGCTTATCTTGACATACAGTAAGCATACATATGTGCATATATTCATATTTAAGTTAGTTTATGCTGGCAATCAGATTTTAAGCATTTCTCTGTGATCTTCAGAACATTTTAAAAGAAAGGCTTAGTAAAACTAAGGACATCAAGGGGAACAAAATGACATGATGCAACACAGTCTGTCAACAATGGCTCTTAGATTAACTAGCAGGGTATCTTTCTTCAATAAGGTAATAGATTTTGTAGAGATTACCAAGAGGAAATACCCTGTTGAGGACTTTCCTTAATAACAGGGATACCAGAAACTACTACTAGAAGAAAGGATTACTACTACTAGAGGAAAGGATTATTTGTTTCTGAATTGCTGAGTTCCAGAAGGTAGAGAAAAAAAAAAAACATTTTAAGTTTCTTTCTTTATTTATTTACTAATCATGCACTACCCAAAACTAAGGGTTGGGGTTACAGTTGATTGCAGCTTATAGATGGTGGCAAACAACAAAGAGAAAGGGAGTAGGGCCAAGTTATAGTATACAGGTATACTTTTCATATACAGTATACTGTATATATTTCATAGTGTATTCCAAGCTGCCTTCTTTAACAAAATGGAAGCCAAGAAAAGAGCATGGGCCAGTCCCAAGAGGATGCACAGGTGCAGGTTGAACCATGGGGAGGTCTGGTGAGCTCAGCTGCATGACTCGGTGGCACTATACAGTCCTCATAGTAGTCCCCCAGCAGCAAGTTACAGGACTGTATCAGAGCTGCCTTTGCTATTACAGCAGGATTCACCCTCTATACAGGGTTTATTCCCCACTTAATGTCAACTAAAAGCCATTCTGGATTCTGCTAAACTAAAGGGAGGGCAGTGTTGGTACAAGGATAAGGAGAGGTGGCATTAAGCAGCAACACAGAAGAGAATAGAGTAATAGGGTTCTCGGCATTAAGCAGCAACACAGAAGAGAATTTCTAAAGCAAGAGAGTAATAGGGTTCTGGTGCACCCTCTATTTGGGATAGGGAAAAGCTAACTACTTTCAGAAGGAACTTCAGTTGGTTCATGGAAGGGATTATAGGTTGTGATCATGACAATTAGAGTCCTAGCTCCCTTTCTCAGCAGCATTGTGGGTTTCAGACCCAGATGATTTCATGTGTGTATGTAGGTGTTAGTACGTTAAGAGGGATCCAGTCAGCCAGTATCACACCATACATCACCGCAGCTTTAAGTCCTTGATCCTTGTAATTAGGCTGCCTCCTTGCTCCTTTGCACGCACAACCGCATGTCATGCCTAGGCCTTGCTTTCTTGCTACATATCACTCCAGTCCTTCCTCCTGTCTGTTCTTCCAGACAAAACAACCATCCAACTGTCTGGGAGCCAGTGACACTTTCAAAGACCTTCACGGCCAGTGCTGGGA